CTTATAGGCTTAATCCTTGATCCTGTGGAAGAAAGCTTCCCCTCCAGCATCAAGGCAATTCTGTCTCTGTCAACCTTGGCTCAGAGATTGGACCAGATAAGAAAATAATGTGTGTGTGTGTGTGTGTGTGTGTTTTTTTTTATGTGCAGCCTTTATACAGTACCATGCAGTTGCAGTGAGTTTTTGTGTGTGCACCATGCCACTGCTTGTTTCAAATCCACCATGAGACTTCTCCTTCCCATCGTCCTTTGCTGTGGGAGGAATAGAGTTTTTGGAATAGAGTTGCCTTGGTAACTGTTGCTGCCATCTGTGTCTGTTGTATGAGTGTTTGGTAATGTGTGTAGAAAAAGATGGAGGCGCCTGTGGTCTTAATGCTTCATCGTTGCATTATTTATTTAACAGTCAGCAGAAGGACTGGAAGGTTACTTTATTCATTCCAGGAAAAGGTTAGACGAGTCGACTTTCAGCTCAGTGAAAGTGTCTCATTGTGACACATTTGTAATAAAATGTGTCAAAAACACACCTGCTAACACAACTGCAGCTTGCTTTCTTTTGGTAAAAAGGAGGAGAATTAAGGGTTAAACTAATTATTAATTGTATTTTCCTTGCTTCATGTGGTTCTGTGGCATGGCAGTGGAAGCAAGTGAGGTGGCTGCAGTTTATAGTCACTTGGTTCTATGAGCCAAGACAAAATCATTTTGAAACAGACATTTAATTCATGATGAGAAATTGTGAAGACAAAACAGAAGGAAACAGGTAAAACTGATAGATGACGAACGTGAATGAAGCCATGATTTAAGTCAAATCTTTCATGGAAAGTTCATTAATGCAGGCTGTCAGTTTTCAGGGAATTAGCATTTAAAAGATAAGAGTGCTCGTGGTTAGTTGGACTACAGTAACACAGTTTTTTTTTCTTTATATTTGCAGGACAAGAACAGACTGTGGGGTCTCCTGAAAGAAGGACTCATCACACTCAAGGATGAACTTATCAGTCTGCAGAAAAAAGAGAGGCTTCCATTGAGATTTTATAGGCCAGGAACATTATCACGTGCTGTGCAGCATCTAAGCACAGGTACAGAAATCAGATGGCGATAAATGGCCCATGCGTATCTATTAGAGAGAAGACAGTAACTGATAAGGGCAGCGCACACTGATTGTGTGTGGTGCATGTTAAAACACATGCACCCATTATTTTTAATGCAAGCCCACACACTGGCGGCAAACTGACGCATGTCAAAACCAGGCAAATAGAACAACAGCATCGTGACAGGGTGACGTGTGTCAGTTCACTGCTGTTTACTTGATGCTTAAATACTCACCTATTTTGGTAGCCTTGCACTGAACTCACACCACTCTCGGTGTGTGTTATAGGTGTGATGTGACGCATGTCACATGACAAGATGCAGTGCTTTGAGTGTGTGTTGCTCTTGAGTACAAAAAGCCTGTTTATCTCCAGGCTGTGGTGTATTATGTGTCTGTGCCCAGAGTTTTTGTGTAACCTGGTTTTTAAACACTAACTCACCCTTTTTCTGTGTTTTCTATCTCTGATTGTCTGCGTCTCTATAGTAGAAACATTCAGCATCCTCTAACAATGATCTAGGCTTTGCAACAACCTGATGATGATGATGCAGGGCCCTGCAGGGAGGAGGAGCAGTGATTGACTCTCTTTTGCCACACCTGGCACTCTGTGTCCGTTCTGATTGGGCGGCCAGAGTGCTATGTCATCAACCACACCGCCTACGGCGCCATCCCTTAGGAAGGGAAGGAAGCCGGAGAAATCGGAGGTGATGGCTGACTCGGTGCAGGCCACCACTGAGGAGCTGAGGGGCAAACTCATGGATGCCCAGATCGAACTGCAGCAGGAGCGTAGCAAGGTGAGTAGGGGGTGGGAAGAAGAGATGGAGGCCTTGTACAGAAAACTGATGACACTGACGCCCTTTAGATGATCACAATAGAAGGAAATGCAGAAGGTGGTGCCCAATTTTACAGATTAATTTAGAAATTGTTATACACAGGCTTACAGTCACAAAGTTAAAAAGACTGCAGTTTGTATAAAAAGTATCTGTAAGATGAGATGTGGACCAATGGATGTAAGAATGTCAACAGCAGTACATAAAGTATAATATTAACAGTTAGGGTGGGATAAATATACAGATACATGAAATAGGATTCACCCTTTTCTCTGCTCTGTTATATTGTCATGATCAGCTGTAAATACATGGGGAGATACAGTGGTGTGAAAAAGTATTTGCCCCCTTACTGATTTCTTATCTTTTTGCATGTTTGTCACACTGTAATGTTTCAGATCATCAAACAAATTTAAATATTAGTCAACGATAACACAAGTAAACACATCATGCAGTTTTTAAATGAAGGTTTTTATTATTAAGGGAAAACAAAATCCAAAACTACAAAGCCCTGTGTGAACAAGTGTTTGCCCCCTAAACCTAATAACTGGTTGGGCCACCCTTAGCAGCAACAACTGCAATCAAGCGTTTTCGATAACTTGCCATGAGTCTTCCACAGCGCTGTGGAGGAATTTTGGCCCACTCATCTTGGCAGAATTGTTGTAAGTCAGCCACATTGGAAGGTTTTCGGGCATGAACTGCCTTTTTAAGGTCATGCCACAGCATCTCAATTGGATTCAGGTCAGGACTTTGACTAGGCCACTCCAAAGTCTTCATGTTGTTTTTCTTCAGCCATTCCCAGCTCACTGCTGGCTTAAGTAAGGTCAGTGGAAGCAGTGGAGCAGCATAACTGTTAGTTTATTCTGCTCTCTGTCAGGGAATAAATCAGCGCTTAGCTGTGTCTCAGTTTTGCAAAATAAAAAACTTGCAAATGAAGTTATCATTGGGCTGCACACAGTCTGGGCAAATGGATGAACACACTGGGAGCATGTGATCTGTATGATTATGATTGTGTTCTTATTCAACTCCAATGGCAAAATGTGTCGCACTCCCAGATTTGTAAGCTTCGTGAGCGACTCCAGGAGCAGCGGCAGGCTCGGGAACTTGAGCAGCACAAACATGCTGTGGCACGTACTGACCTGCGTGCCAAACTCCATGAAGAAAAGCTACGTGAGATAGCAGCTGTCCGTGAGGCCCTGGCTCGACAGCATGAAGCTGAGCTGGCTCGGGCCATCAAGATCCGTGATGCTGAGGTGCAGAGGCTGCAGGGGCTTGTAAACGCACTGAGAGATGGAGCAGCTGACAAGCTCAAAAATGCTCTTTTTGGAGAGGCACGGGAGGAGGCCAGGAGGGCATTTGATGGGGAGAGGCTAAAGCTACAGCAGGAGGTAGGTTGTAACATGTACAGTATGTGACAGTTATGCCTTATTGTGACATCACCCAAGATACCGTGTTAAATCAAATGTTTCTTTTAAATGCTCTGCTTTCTACAAAGTTGAGCTCAACCTAATTTGCCTTAAAACTCTGTGCAGCAGTATCACCAGACACACCTCATCACCTCTGTAAAGCATCTCTACACTGGCATCTACTATCAGTTGTAGTGTTGGTGTTTCTTTGTATCTAGGCAGTAAACTCTCATTTTCTGAGATCACTGTATGTTGGTTTTTGATAAACACTGCTTTTTTAGAAAGTTGGCATTCTGAAGCCATTATGTGATTGCACATGGTTACAGTATGTACTGTGTGTTTGTCTGTGATGAGTGTTAGTGTCGGACTATGTAAACCTTTGAAAATTTACTGCTAAAAAACAGGAAGCAGGGTGGAAAAGCCTGTTGCCAGCTATTGTTTCAGTGCAGCCTTTCCAGATAAACAGGGTATCTGTCATTACAACTGCTTAATGGGAGAGGATAAATAAGGGTGGAGGATATATGTGTTATATAAACACACAACTGTTGCTGTCTTTGTCGTTTAGTCTTGTGTGTATTAGTGTTATCGTGTGTGTATGTGGTTTTTAGATCCAGGAACAGAAGACAGCCAGGAAGCAGGCTGAGGAGGCGCTGGCCAATGCACTGCAAGCAGATAAAGCCAAAGCAGCAGATCTCAGCACAGCCTACCAACAGCACCAGGATGAGGTGCATCGTATTAAACGGGACTGTGAGAAAGACATCCGCCGACTGGTGAGACCACGCACTGCTGGGAAACCTGCTCTACAGACACTACATAAGTCCCCAATAAATTTGAATATTGCCTAAAGGTAGTGTTGATGGTGTGCTTGCTGGTGACACAAGTGTTCTGCATGTTACAAAACAGATAATCACATTTATATTTTAATAAAAAATGTATTTGAATTAATTTAAACAATTAAATTTTTATTTTCCTTGGTACAGGAGTTAACATTTTTATATTTATAGCGTCAACCTGCCCAGACTGTCTAATAATCTTCAGTACCTTTAAATGTCAAGCAACAGTCACACCTCAAGTTATTTATTAAATGTTGCTGAACAACTGAGCTAATCTGCCTGATCAGGACCATTTAGATTAAAAGGTGTTAAATCCTAATGGCTGAAAAACACACAGGCAGAATCCATCAATCAAAATAAGCAACGCTTTTAACTTTGTCAGAAAATGCTTTGTCTGTGTAGGACCACCTTGCTAAGAAGGTTATCAGGACCTTTGTATATGTAAATGTATATGATCCCTTCTCTGTGTGCCTCTTTTGGAGAGTAAAACTTTTCCTGTTATGTCCATCACATTGAACTGACCTTAATTAAATTACAAAATATGCAAAACTGTAATATATGCAGTGAAAAGAGGGAGCTTACACTGCCCTATAAATCATATTTATTACTCCTCAGTGATAGGTTAGCTTGGCAGACTCAGCGGTGGTTATTTTTTTATAGTCCTTGTCCGTGTTGACCACATTTGAATATCACCAGTGTTCCTCACATCTGTTCATTGACATCCAGCTTTGTGCTTTAAAATTCAGTTCCAGCTCAGAGTTTATCTTGTTACTGCATAAAGATTGGAGGCTAATTACTGCTGTACCTTTGCATAATGCACCATGTGGTGCTTATCTACAAAAATAATTCTGTATACCTGCTAATATATACAGCAGGGCTACAGTAACATCCATTGTTGTTTGTAAAGGAATGTTTGAGCAAAGAAACAGTACTATTTGTCAGTATAGTGGCAAAAGAGTAAGGTGTGGCTGCAGGAAGTACTAGGGATTAAAAATAGCAAGGGGAGTAGAAGTTGGGTGAATCCACTGGTGTAGGCAGTGTGATGTCTAAGGTTAAAAACTATTACACCAAGCATAAATCAACAGAAGAAAAGCTAAATTAATTTACACCAGATACTTGCACATTAGTGTTTAAACCTGTGAAATAAATGAATAAAGCTCAATTTCTGCTGAATTTCATTAAGTTTTTATGAGTTTTCTGCTGCAATATTTCAGAAATATCAGTGCAGTTCAGTTCAGACAACTTTATTTATCCCATCAGGGCGATTCATTTTTATGGTTTTACAATCTACCCAGTCATACACAGACTCGCATACAAGCAACAATCACCGGTATGTCAGGAACAGCAGGCCAAGGCCTGAGTGTTCCTTTTGTTCCCTGGATAACTTGTTCCTTCCTATCTATCCCTCTTATAGATGGATGAGTTAAAGGCGAAGGACCGGGTGGTGTGTGCCCTGGAGAGAGACCTAGGGGTCCAGGCTGGCTACGCCCAGAAGCTTCAGCTCCAAAAGGATGCCCTGGATGAGCAGCTGGGCCAAGTGAGAGAAGCTGAAAGACACAACCACGGCAGCCCAAAGAGAGAGGTTGCGCCTGGCCTGGGGGACAACCCAGACCTGCTCAGCAACCAGGTATATACAGACACAAACCAGATACAGTATATACACACACATCTCTACGTGTGGATGAATGCATTTGTACAAGACTGAACTGAAAACATTGTATTTTCTATTGCATTTTTAATTGGTGAATAAATGTGATTATTTTGATGCAGTAAATAAATCCAAGACATCGTGTTTTTCTTCCTGTGATTTTTTGAAAGCAGACAAAGCCTTAACACTGAAATTAAAGGCTGGTTCTAGGCAATAACTGCCAGTACTCAGATTTTAGGTATCACAGAAAGAACATGTAGTTTCTGAATCCCAGAATAAAACTTTTATTTGACTCTAAAACTTTGAAACTGTGAAATTTACCTGTAGTCACCTAACTTCTGCCAGGTCGACCCACGCCATCATGTTAGTTGTAGCAAAGTCGGGGATACCTTTTAGTCTTTGAGTGCATAATTTATTTTTCGTAGTGATGAGGGAAGACATCAGTCATACTGGATGTATAGAACAGTGCTGTATATCTGTACATTCAGTCATGTATGAACATACAGCCCATACATTCGTGCTAAATCATGTGTATCCTGTACAAATGCACTGTAAAATGGCAACAGTCATGTATGAACATACAGCCCATACTTTCATGCTAAATCATGTGTATCCTGTACAAACGAGTTCACAGTTGCACTGTAAAATGGCATCCCATCCTTCATCCCATCACCTCCTCTTTCCACCTCCATTACCTGCCTTGCCTGCATGTGCTCCCTTTTTAGTTTTTGTCTTCCTCCTCCTTTCCTCTGCCTTCTGCTCAACAGGAGATGGATGAGCGTGACATGAGGAGGTTTCAGCTGAAGATTGCCGAGCTCCACTCGGTCATCAGGAAACTGGAGGACAGAAATGCATTGCTGGCTGACGAGAGGAATGAACTAGTGAGGAACACACGTCCTGAAGTACATATGCAATGATTATAGGCATGCGAATATACACTCGCGTATTGCAGACAAATGTACACACATTAAGAAACCTACATGCCTGTGAAACGTGCATTAAAACATTTCCTTCAGCTTTGATCTTGCCTTTCCTGCTCAAACTGAAATTTCTGTGTTGCTGGAGGTAAGACTTAATCTTAGTGTGTCCCCTTCGTTTCCTTCCTCTGCTCAGTTGAAGCGAGTGCGAGAGGCAGAGAGCCAGATGAAGCCTATATTTGAGAAGAACAAGCGGTTGTCCAAGAAGAATGATGACCTCCTGAAAACACTGCAACGCATGGAGGAAAAACTGAAGAACCTGAGCCGAGAGAATGCTGAGATGGTGAGGGGCAGCTGCCGAGTGTTATATCTCTGCTCCCTGTTGTCTCCTTTTTCTTTCTGGTTAAAGATAAGGTCAAAGTTCAAATACTAGTAGAAAATATTTTAGTTTGAATTTGTAGAGGAAGTGGGACAGGGTTACTGTACTTTGGTGCGACCTGAGACTTTCCTCTCAAAGGATGCAGGACCTCTACTGGTCATTTTAGGAAAAGCATGAAATAATTTACTCTACAACCACAATTTGGCCTCTGATGTCTCTCTCCCACAGAAGGAAAAAGCCTCCACCTCCCGGCCACCTTCACAGCAACAAGCTATTCAGCCACAGCTGAAGCGGCCAAGCTCCCTGACAGACTTGAGCCACGCCCACGAAGAGCAAGAAGTGGAGTTCCTTAAGCTGCAGATTTCTGAGCAACGTGGAATTATTGACGAGCTCATGCAGGTTAGGATGTTGCTCAAACCACCGTGGTCAGATGCCTGTTATATTTTGTGAAGAAATAAACAATCATATTTTTTAATGCTTAAATTAACTTTCCCATAGTGTCCTCTAGAGATTTTCTTATAGAACCACTGTTACCTCACACAGGAATGGGCAGTATAATAGGGGTCTGCAATATTGAAAAGAATTATATGTGGATATTTTTGGGGATTTTCTTTAATGATGAGCAGATGATATCTTGTATCTGTTGGACTGAAACCAGTCCTGCGTGTTCTTGATGAAGAATGGTCAAAGACAAATCTGTCTTTTAAGATATTTATTACAATCAATATTTCAGAAAAATATTCAAGGAAAGCAATTTACAGAGCTCTGGGTTCCGTCTCTCTGAATCCCTACCAAACAACAGCAAAACCGTTCCAACTGCCTTCAGAGCAGGGGAACGCCTAGACTCCTGAACCCAGTCCAATTATACAGTTTTTCAAATATGCAAATGATGGTAGATCTGACGTCCTCCGCGTTGTCCTTCATCCTCGCTCCTTGGTTGGTTGGTTGACCTCGTTCTGACCCCTCATTTGATGATCTTGTCACCAGGCAGTTTTCCATCTGTAAGATTCTAAGCACACATCCTGACCTTTGAATGCCCTAAGCTCAGACAGTTTTAGAGAAGGCCCTCACTTCACTCACTTCCCGTCTACACCTGTCACTATGAGCGTTGCTAAGCCCTGGTTCCTGTTGTGGTTTCCTGGAGATTGCTTTTCAGGTACTGCTATTGGCAGCTGCAAGTCTCTTACACTCTTTAAGACAAATAAAATGGTTAACACAAAAGTAGATTATAAGGCATATGATACTATTATAATGCATATGATACTAAAATAATCCTGTAAATATATTTGCTAATGCAGATTACAATATTGATTATAGAAGGCCAAGCATTTCATATATTATTAGTAAATGTCAACAATAAGACCTTTTACTCACATCTCTGGCTGCAGACAGCCCTGTCATCTCGTTCTGCCTGCGCACACTTCCTGTTGATGTGAGTCTCACTCTGCACCCTCTCAAAAGCCGTTCATGTGCACAGGTCAAGTTTTTCCAAAGGTCAAACACATTAAACAATTATTTGAACAGTTTTGCAAATACATAACATAGCACTATATCATTTTGCTAAGAATTTCTTCCTACATATCCTTCAGAAAGGTTTTATACTGTGCTAGGCTTCTCTTGTTAATAGCATAATAATTGTTGTTTACTAATGATATTAATGGAAACAAAATGCTGTATTTCATATAGGCTACTGATTTGTGTAAAACTGACTCATTCACATGAAACGGTACAAAAACGTTGATGTCACTTTATGCTGAATGATTCTGCTAAAGTTTGCTGAGTGTGTTTTTGTGCTGGTACCCTTGCTGGTTTAGTCCTGTCGTGGACAGCTGCCTCCTGACACTTTTCCTATTCTGTGAGGTGGTTAGTTCCCAGATGGCGAAACAAGCTGTCGAGTTGTCTTTCCAACATAGTTTGCAGATTGTCTTCTTTTGAGCACACATCTCTCTTTCAAAGCCAAAATACCTCCATGCGAGTGAGGGTGATCCATGTTTACCAATTAAATTAATGACATAGATTGCAAGACCTTTGGTGTCTGTATTTTGTCTTCTGGCACCGTCTGCTCACTCATTTTAACTTCACTGATGGATGTTTAGGCCGCTACACTAGCTTAACTTGTGGTGCAGCGACCACACACAGACTGTGCACACTTGCAGTAGTCTATCCCATGAGGCTACACGACACAGTGAATGTGTGGACTCCAAGGTGTGTTTTTGATTGTTTTTTTTGTAAAGTGACACACTCTGTAATGACAGCTGGTACAGCGCTAAAACAACAATTAAAGATATTATCGTAGATATCATACACCCCTATGATACAATATGTGCTGTCAGAAAATATGAATTAGTCTTGTCTGACACTTTGCCATTCTATAGTAGCTCTCCTTTTAACTTCACTCTTAGTGGAATAAGTTGCATATTTGCAGAAGGGACAGCGGTTGTGTATGGTGTAATGTTTCATTGACTTAGGAAAGTTTCTACACATGCTGTAATTCACCAGAGAATGTCTTGTGTTTATTCATCTTCACCCGTTTTTACCCTCTCATACGCTTATATCCAGGCCTTCCAAACCACAGCCTGACTTATCCCAAGCTGCTAGTTTCACCATTATGTAGAGCTTAAACCCACATGCTTTATTCCTATGATTACATAGTTTCCATTTCACTATTACTGTTTCATCTCGGTTATCAGTACAGTTTGGTTTTCATGTCTTCATGTTCTCATTTGACCTTGAATTTTGTAAAAAGGGAAAAAACTGGTCACTACAGCATAAAATAGCTCACAAAGTCATGTCTTGACAGAGTTTGAGATGCTGAATTACTGTGTGTTTGTCTTTAGGAACGTGACCGATTAGTGCTGAACAAAAAGAACAGGAGGAAACCACTCAAACTTTCCAAAGTAAGTTTCCATAAGTGTTTTAAAAACTGTGTTAATCCAGTGGTTTGTAACTAAGCAACTGTCCTATCTGTGGTTGACTGATCCTTAACTACTGTTTTCACTTGTGTGTGTGCTTGTTTCTGTGTGTGCGTGTCTGTCTTTAATTGGGCTCAGGAGACCATAATGACAGTACACAGCTGGGAGCATCATGCTGAGCACACACGCGCCTCCTGCATGAACCCACATCTTGTGAAAAATTATGCATTTTCTCTGTTGTTGATTTATGCTGTTGTATTTTCTGTGCATTTTAGCGCTATTGTAGGACCATGAATACATGTATCAGAGAAACTGTGGCATTCATTTTGTGCAGCTTTTCATGTCTTTTTGTGTGAATGAAGAGAGGACAGGGTAACAATATCAAACAAACTGGGTAAGATGATTGTGTTTGACAAAAAAAAATGCTGTGATCCATGTGTGTGTGTTCATTTTAATGTGCATGTTTACGGGACATAATGTTACCAGGAGGAGGAGTTTGTGGATGCATGACATGTAATATTCTCCCACCTCTCCTGCTGGAACCAGATGACACCTTGGCAAGGTGGATACAGGGTTGGGTATAGCAGCTTGGCTTATGGACTTGCACCTGGAAAATTTTGGGGAATTGAATGGAAACAGATTACATGAGCTAGAAGACAGTACTCGGAAGCCGGTCTTTTGCTTTTTCTGTAGGAGTAATTTGGTTGTAATAAGAGGCTCTCCTCTGTTTTTCCATTTAGTGTGGGAGTGCGAATGAAAGCAGTTGTGCTTTTTGGATATTATTAAAGTCCAAGATATATCTAGAAAGACAGATATTTTTCTGGAGATTCTTTAGTTTAATGTGTTTTTTGGCATAGTTGCAATATGGCAGAATTCTTCCTTCTTATTCTTTACTTGTCTTCCTTCATTTGCCTATGCACCCTGGTCTGCCTCTACTTCTCTGGTTGCCAGGAGATGACTTATAAACATGAGGGTAAGAACATAATGGGGTTTGGAAAGGTTAAAAGCAAAAAAGAGTTGGTTTTTTTTGTGTTTTGAAAAGCATCCAGACATGTTGGATTTAGGGATGTTATTGTATTAAAAATTGAGGTTTGTTAAGTGTTCATTTTCCAAACATGCAGACTGGCTTGGATTTGGGTTTGATTTAATAATAATTGTCCATTTTTCCCCTTCTATATTCCTCTCTTCAGAGGCATGTTGTGGAGACGTTTTTTGGATTTGATGAGGAGTCGGTGGACTCTGAGACCTCCTCTCTCACCTCCTATAACACTGACCTCACTGACCGCACGCCTGCAACGCCAGAGGAAGATTTGGAAGAGGTAAGAATATCATTTGTCTGTACTGAAAGAAGTTATTTAAAGCATATATTGCTCCAGCAGCTGAAAGATGCACTCCATAAATATTGGGATAATGGACAGAAGAGAAACAAGCAAAGTATTAGAGTTAATTTCCAGAATATGAGATGGGATTACAGATGAGATAAAGCTTTGTGTGTTATGTTGACCCTGTCCGTACTACAGAGTGTTTCCCGTGAGGAGTCAGAGCTTCGTTTTCGTCAGCTCACTAGAGAGTATCAGGCTCTTCAGCGGGCCTACGCCCTCCTGCAAGAGCAGACGGGAGGCTCTCTGGATGCCGAGAGGGAGGCCAGGGTTTGTACTATGACTTTTTGTCTCTCTGTGTCTTATACCATTAATTAAGCGGTTCTCAACAAAGCATGCTTACCTGTAACTAAGGAATGAAGACAACTTCCAAATCTTTTAGTGGTTACATTTTGTTGCAGTACCCTGTAAAGTTTTCAGACTCTTCCTCTGTTGTCTGGCCAAATTACACACTGGTCCCTGATGGTTGATCTCCCTCCCTACAGACACGTGAACAGCTGCAATCAGAGCTCAGCACTTGCCAAGCAAAGATCATGGACCTGGAGAAGGCCCTGGCTGAGAGGGGGCAGGTAACAAAGATAATGGATGGAGACGGGAGCTCTCTGGTCCTGCTCTCACTGGCCCTCTTGCATGTGTGTTTGGCTGCTCTGCTCCTGGGCTGTCGCTATGCTGACCAGGTCTGCCACAGAATCCTGTGATGTCACTTCCTGCATGTGTGATATCACATCCCAGTGCCTGCATGCTCTGCCTCTCCCTGTGTTCTTCTTGATGTTGCTTTCTTATTGGGTGTTTCTGTGCTGGCAGCCATGGAGAGGAGGCTTAAATCACTTTGAGATATGAATACATTCATATAAAAAGTCTTAATCCAATAATGTCTCACCATTTTCTGCATACAGAAATACTCAGGTTAGGTTGACTTGGTTTTATTTAATAGGTTCGTACGTCATGAAAATTTTGGTCTGTAACTAATAACCAAATCAAATTTAATTTGTATAGCACCAAATCATAACAAAAGTCATCTCAGTTCACTTTACAAAGTAAGGTCTAGACCTTATTATTATCAACTAATAAAACCCAACAAATCCCCCTTGAGCAAGCACTTGGTGACAGCGGGGAGGAAAAACTCCCTTTAATGGAAGAAACCTCCGACAGACCTCTGCTCTTGGTGGGCGGCCTTCTGCCTCGACCAGTTGGAGTGAGTGGATAGAGGAGAGACACAACAAACAATCAAACACTGGGCAGGTTGATGTGGCCGGTGACTGCTCATCAGAAAGGTAGGCCAACAGTCCTGTAAAAATGTTTTACATAAATTGCACAGATTTTTCGGGCAGTCACCTTTCCTCAGTGTGCAACTTGGCAGCAGTGCTACACTCAAGCACAGGTGAACTATGGAATAATCAAGTGCTGCAATGTGGCCAATAATAGGGCTTAAAAAATCATGACATCTATATCAATAAAGAGTCCACCAAAAGCAAATTGACCGAGGGACTGCAAATCACAGAAATCGCATAAAAAGGAACAAACCAGATGATGAATCCAAAAACACTCTCTTTGTAATAACTTCTTTTCTTGGTCACTTCCCCACCTATAAAATGCAAGTCGCTAACTGTATGACTAAAGGCAACAGGAGACTACTCGCTATGACTTCAAATGGAATATTTACATTCACAAAAGTTTTTTATATTACATTTTTATGTTAATGACATAAAGAAGATCACATAAGCATTTCAGTAAATAACAAAAGGAATGTTACATGTGATCTTGTCTTTAACAGGACTAAACCTGTTAGTTGAAGGATGAATAAAGGTATTACTGCTAATCACAAAGTTGCCCTGTACACGATTATGACATGGAAGGTTGCCACTAAAAAATGTTTAGACCTTGGCATATCTGATTTACCCAAATAGTCTTTTATAATAATGTTCTCCCTGTGCCTGCGTGGGTTCTCTCCAGGTACTTTGGCTTCCTCCCACAGACATGTAGCTTAGGTTGATTGGTGACTCTAAATTGCCTGTAGGAGTGAGTGTGAGTGGTTCTTTGTCTCTGTCAGCCCGGTGATAGACCTTCGACTCTTGCCCAGTGTCAGCTGGGATGCCCCCCCCCCTTTCTGGGTGAATGGATGGATGGGTCTCTTACACTAGACGCCCTCTTGTGGCAAAACCTGGGAAATAACTCAAAGGATTTCAAAGTACTGGGATCAAATGTCAAGATATGGCACTGTTTAAGAACCACATCTTTAACAGACTTAGAAATAGGGCTGTATTAATAATAATAATGATAAACATATTTATACTTTTTATTATTGACCTAAGGATTGAGCACCCAATCACAGACTAGGCTGATTATAGGTTTATTACCATTGGTTGAAAACTAAGACAAACCAGTGCATGTGTAAAAAGCCTCAGCTATTTTTTTCTAAACTGACTGCATTAAAATAATTGTTGACAATGCACAATAATTGCACCACACTGCAATCATTCAGTTAATATCACTACTCTTAGTTTCTTGATTTATTTTCTTGTTTGTTATTATTTATTGCTTTGTGTTACTGCATGTGTACTGCATGTTCCACTGTCACTTGATCCAGCTCAGTTATTTTGAATTGCTGCACTGCTGTTAGATCACCTTCTGTTCCTCCTGTAACTAAACTGTTGATGACTGTGAATGCAGCTTTTTAGCCTTTGTTATCTCATGAGTGGGCTTTGTTTGTTTGGATCAATAAACTTGTATTACTGCAGCTATGGTAAACTGTCACCGTGTGTTTGTTACCTGAGTTTTTGGAGTTGGCTGATTGTGTTTCTGGCAGCTTTGTAAATTAGGCCCTGCTGTCGGGGATCCTTTCCTTCCTCTCCTGTTGCTACCATCAGTTCTTGCTGATGTTGTGTTTGATTGTTATGACAGGACTCAAAGTGGGTAGAGGAGAAGCAGTTCTTGCTCAGGACCAACCACGAACTTCATGAGAAGGTAGATTGCATTGGCCTATACTCACCTAATGCATCACTTTATAGGCAGCATGGATATTGCATCATGATGTTGTATAGTTACGTCTGTGCAGACGTACTGCACACTAGAGCTTGGTATTGTTTAAAAATGTTCACTGCTATTGCTGATACAATACCACAGTATTGTATATTCTCAGTGCCAATACCAGGCAATACTTTTTAAATTCCTAACTTTGAGGAATATAAACATTTGTAGTGAAATCTTTTGTTTTGCAGCAAAACATTTTTCACTTAACCAAAGAGGCCAACATCTACAACAGCTGTACACAAGCGGTCATATAGAACTTATATTCCATATATAATAATCAGAATTTTTATCTTCTGGATGTTTGTTCCAATTCTGAAGAGCACTGATTAAAGACAACATAAAGAGGAACACAGTTTGCACAAACTTTCATTACTATTCACTATTCACAATAAAACATGCCAAACCACTGTGCTTGTCAAACATGTTTGTGTGTCCGTAGATATGCGCGTTGCAGCAGGCAGAGTCGCGGCTGCAGGCTGAAGTTCAGGATGCTCGGGACCAGAATGAGCTGCTAGAGTTCAGGGTGCTGGAACTGGAAGTAAGAGACTGTACCAACATTAAACTGTCATCAGGAGGTGACAACAACAGTCTCAGCTTCAGATGCAAGACCTACATTCAGTGACTCACCAGACAGACATACTGATCACTTCCACACACTTGAGTCCTCCTCCTGTGTGCATCTGTGTTTCCTTGTTTTGCATGGCAGCTGTGTGCATACCCCCCCCCCCCACTGAATTGGAATTGTTTTCAAATAAAAGAATTTTATGTTAAGATGAATATAATTTTTAATTGAATAAAAATGTATTTAAGTTCATCATCCATTCCCATGTTTGTTCATTTTGTCTCTCATTTGTCCTTGCATGTCCTACGTTGTTGTGTTTTTTATATAACTCCTGGGGTTAACTGATAACTAAGAACAGAACAATGGTGTAGAGTAATGTGTACATTTTTGTTGTTCAAGTCATATTCTCTCTACTGTTGAAGTGAGCCATGCACATATACAATCACCAAATGCATACATAATGCATTTGCAAGTTATAGATTATATTTTTGTAATTCTATAGATTATGAACTTTGAGCATAGTTTATATTAGAATTATAATATTAATATTATTGTCACTCATCATTCAATCATATTAATAGTTTTTGCATCCCTTAATTTAGCAGGTTTATCTGCCTGTGGACACTTTAGATGTTTAGCATGTGTTCCCCTGTTGGTTTGGTTTAAATTGGTTTTCCTATTTAAACCTCTGGGTTTCCACCTCCCCCATTTTGGCCGATCCTGACCTTGTTTTCATTGTCATGTAAGTAAATCCCTTATTTACTCCCATCTCACTTCGCGTACACTGTCATTCACATTTTATCTTTCACTGCTCAGTACCAGTGTTGTACTAGTAGAAATCTTGTTAGGTCGGCTAAATGGATGATGCTTTCAAGTATGCGTATATGAGTATTAATGTGGTGATTGCTCCCTTTAGGAAAGGGAGCGCAGATCTCCTGCCCTCAATCTCCACATGTCTGCATTCCCTGAGAACAGCAGCAGCGCCTTGCAGATCTACTGCCACCAGGAGGGAGTAAAGGTGAAAAGACGCTCTGAAAACTCAGACTTTTCCTTTAAGACTTTTCTCCACACAGTGAATATGTCTGATTTTGAACTCTGTGCAGGATGTAATCATTCCTGAGCTGATGAAGAAACTGGATATCCTGGGGGATAATGGGGTGGGTTTAATCACACTATTAGATTAAAATACCTGCTGGTGCCTGCCTCTTTTAACTTGGGGTATTCTTGTAATTTATGATAACATTTTTTGCCTATTGTATTATCTGTAGAATCTCAGAAATGAGGAACAAGTAGCAGTGATCCAGGCAGGAACAGTGATCTCTCTGTGTGAAAAGGTCAGTAGAGACATTTACTGACACACAGTGGACCCACTTTGCAATAAGGCTTAATTTATTCCCAGTGCAGTCACCACATTTGAGTTATTAAGTTTACTATGGAAGAAAACAAGGTTGTTTAGCTTCTGGGAATGCATTAATCCCTGACATTTCCTTTTGCATCCTAACCCCCACCCCCTTTGTAGTGGCTGAAACAAATAGATAGC